AGATGCATGTAGTGGAAATTTCCAGAGGCAGGTATAAATATGCAGGCCAGGATCAGCCTGGAGATGACGAGGTGGATCCAATCAAGGAGGATGAGGCCCACTTCTAGCAGCTGATCTGGAGGTGTGAATTCCAAGAGAGCAGAAGCTGCTTTTATAGTTAGCAAGCCATTCACAGTCTTTGTTTAATCCAGAGTTGATTGTGTCAAACTTAAAGATGAACTGTAGCTCAGCAGTTTCTCTTTGAAGTCTGGTCCTGAAGTTTTTTAGCTGCAGGATGGCTACTTTTAGATCTGCAATTGTGTGTCCAGGAAGATTGAAGTGTTCCCCTACAGGTTTTTGTATGTTGCCATTCCTAATATCAGATTTGTGTCCATTGATTCTTTTACGTAGGGACTGTCCTGTTTGGCCGATGTATATAGCAGTGGGGCATTGTTGGCACATGATGGCATATATTACGTTGGTAGATGTGCAGGAGAATGTACCAGTGACAGTATGGCTGATCTGGTTAGGTCCTGTGATGGTGTTGCTGGTGTATATATGTGGGCAGAGTTGGCACCGAGGTTTGTTGCAAGGATTGGTTCCTGAGTTCGAGTTATTATGGTGCGGTGTGTAGTTGCTGGTGAGAATATGCTTCAGGTTGGCGGTTGTCTGTGGGCAAGGACCGGCCTACCTCCCAAGGCCTGTGAAAGCGAGGGATCATTGTCCAGGATGGGTTGTAGATCACTAATGATGCGTTGGAGAGGTTTTAGCTGGGGACTGTAGGTGATGGCCAGTGGTGTTCTGTTGGTTTCTTTCCTGGGCTTGTCCCGTAGCAGGAGGCTTCTGGGTACACGTCTGGCTCTGTCAATCTGTCTCCTCACTTCCTCGTGTGGGTATCGCATCCATAGGTGATGTTAGCAATACTGTCAGTGGTCCAAGTCACCAGTCAGTAGATGGTTGATAATGCAGGAGAGTGGTTCTTGATCCATACAGTATTTGAGCCATGGCAGGACAGGTCAAGATACAGAGCAGCAATTTGTTTTTACATTTGCTTAAATAACAATATGTTGACCTTCAAACACTTCCACCATCCATAGGCATAGGATTAACAGCATCTGCAGAGAAAATACAAAACTATTCTCGGGGTTTTAAATATACCCTGGCACAAAATTAAGTTGTTACAAGGAGTTAAGAGCCAGTAGATGTGCCCCGCCCCCATGGCAATGATGGCATTACCCTCGAGATTCAGGTACATATCCTGTTTACCAGTCCATCCTGGGGTTACAGCAGAGAGGGCATGTATTGTTTCCCCATTTATTGCCCCTGCATGGGCTTCAGGAATGGACCCCTCCCCCTGTGGTTTATCAGTTATTCATTTTCCATACCACTTTGTTTAGCAGCCTCGTCTTTAAAATATTACCTTTACTAGTTTAAACCATTACCATACCAAGCTGTTACCATTCACAGGAATTTAAAGTTCCTGTGCTTGCACTTTTTGACTTGCTACACAGTTTTGTTTTGTACCTACCGGCTCCAACTTCTGCTTTACTTACATAGTTTCAGAATCAATTTTAGCAGCTTGACAAGCCTAGCAAGTTTGCCACTACAATCAAGGATCAGGTGGTGGCATGGTATTTCAGGTGGTGGAGAGGTAGAGCGAGGAAGAAGTATGATTAGAGAGTTACTGATTTTTCCTGCTTACTACAGTATCTCCTCTATTCCCAAAACAATACACAATAATGCTAGCATTGAGACAAATGACACAAAACAATATATAACGCAACACATAAGACACAACAACACATGAAACACAATTTTTGTCGCGACAATAAATCCATATTATTCTCATTGCTCTTCAGCTGGTGCCAGCTCTTTCTGATGTTCTAAAAGACAAAAGAAAACATTTCTATCCCCATGGGAGGAGGAGGGTTGGGGAGTTGCACATTATACCTTGAAATACTTCTTTCTTTTACCAATATTCTTGTTGATTTATCTCTTTACCTTAAGTTACCCAATACTTTCCTATACTTTTGTTTTACAAGCAGACCAAGTTTTAATAATTTTTCCCTTTATGGATGAGAGTGAGTTATCCCACTTTTTAATCATTAAATTAATAATGATATACCTCAATTTCCTTATTATACTTCAGAAAAGGTACATTTCCAACCACCACTTCATTATACTTATGGGCTGTGTCTACGCTGGTGCAATCTTGCGCAAAAGCACCCGCTCTTGCGCAAAAACTTGCTGCCTGTCTATACGGGCTGCGTGTTCTTGTGCAAGTAAACTGACGTTCTAATGTATAAAATCAGGGCTTCTTGCGCAAGAACTCAGACGCTCCCGCTCAGGAAGAAGCCCTTTTACGCAAGAGCTCTTCCAGAAGAGGCCAGTGTAGACAGGCAACAGGAATGTCTTGCGCAAGAAAGCCCTATGGTTAAAATGGCCATGAGAGCTTTCTTGCACAAGAGAGCGTCTACACTGGCATGGATGCTCTTGTGCAAAACTTCTGGAAGAGTTTTTGCGTAAGAACGTACCAGTGTAGACGTAGCCAAAGGGGTTTCCTTTTCCAAAACAAAATCATGTGCATTAGTAATTGTTACTAATTACATTACACATTGTTACAGGGTTACTTCATAAACATTATTATTTATCCCGGGATTAAACATTAACATTAGCATACATTTTTCTTACAAGTGGATATTTACCATGCCTTGTTAAAAAACTTATCTTTGAGGCCACTGTATTCCATGTCTTTCTGATATCTTCGCATAGGCTTTAATTTATTCAGGAGGTATGGGTAATTAAAAAAAAAGATGTATCATGCATGTAAGCAGATCCCTTTTGTGCTACCACTTGTATTCACACAAACACTTTTTGGCTCGCTCTGATATTCAAAACTTTCAGCAGCTTAGAGTCTCTGCCTTGTGAGAGACACAGTAAACTTTAGCGTTCTGATTGCTGTTTACTTTAAAGTCCTACTTGTTTGCTATTTTGCCAAAAACAAAAAATTCTGAATCTCTTCCCTTAGCTTTTTCCCATTTTTCTCATTCTGCCTGCCTCTAATAATAGCCATATATTGGTCTATAAAAATATAAAGCATGAAGATACATTAAGGGTTAAATGCTAGACTCAAAAAATTAAGCAATACTAATTTCCAATATCTGACTAAAGTGTCTTGTCAGTTTTGCAACTCTGTAATGAAATGGCATTCAAACAAAACCAAAACAAACCAATTCATTTACCTGAAACCTACAAAACAGAATTTCATAAACATACAAAAACACTGATTAGGTCCTAGAAACATCACATATTTACACAATATAGACATACATGTACATGCACACACTCTTTTAACTTCTATTTCAGTGGTCCCCAACCTTTCAGGGCTGCTGGGTGTCCGGGGGCAGGGCCGCTCATGCGCCTTGCGTGGGGGGCAGGGCCATCCATGCGCCACACACTTGGGGTTGGCACCACGCCTTTGCTGCGCGCCCGGGGCAGGGGCCGCCCATGTCCCATGCGCCCTGGGCCGGGGCCGGCACCGTGCATTTGCTGTGTGGCCAGGGTAGGGGCCGCCCATGCACTGTGCGCCCAGGGCCAGCACCACACATGTACCAGGCGCCCAGAGGTGGCGCTGCACATGCACCGTGGGTGGGGCCAGCCCAGATCATTTGGCAGGACACAGAAATGCCCTGGCGGGTGCCATGGCACCCACAGGCACCACACTAGGGACCACTGTTCTATTTATACTGTTCCCTCATAGCTTTACAAAATTACATTCCCTTATGCTCTTTAGCAAATTCCACTGACATGTCCATGGCTAAATTATTTAAATCAGATTCTCTTTTTGCCTGGATTCTTTACAGACATTCCTCTGGAAAAGGGCCCATTTTTCCTCCAGAAATACTGCAAAGAAACAAAAGATTATTTTCCTATCACACTTCCCCTTCTAGCATTTTACAACAATTGCTCAATTCCTTCCAGACTCCGTGGACTTAACTTCTCACTCTCTTCTCTTAATCACTTGCTTTCATTTCACTTCAAATGAAAACTTAACTAATTTAGATATCACCATTCCAAGTACTTTTCCAATAATTTAACTCTCCAGTGCCTGTACTTACTGCTTTCCTTATTCCTTCAAATAAGCATGTGATAATGGGTAAGAGGTTTGGAGCCCATGTTTCCCCCGGTTTTACCAAATTAACTAATTAATTTGAAATAAGTTAATTCGAAATAGCGCTGTAGTGTAGACATTCCCTCTTATATACAGTAATAAAGCCTAATTCACTTACACCTCACCTATATGTTGCCTACAGTACCAGGCAAGAGGTCATGGTTCTATTTCTTCCCATGCATAGGAACACCATGCACTGGATCGCTGGTGTGAAGGGCCTATTACTTCTAGTTACATCGAGCAGGACGTGTGGGTCAGTCCTGCCCATTCCCTCCCATTGCTTGTTCTTACTAAGCCCAATTTATAGCAAAGCAAAACTTAGTCCTTTTAATAATATTTACCAATTGATTACATATTGTGTAGGACACGTAAAAAAGCCCAATGCCCCTGTTTGTGGTACATCCTGCTGCTCAGGATGTTGCTGCTATGTGCACAGTTGACAATTTCATGGTTGCATCTGTACTTTTTGCTTATCAGAAACAAGTACCAGTACGAGGTTGCTTATCTGGTGTCTTCTTGACATGACCAGGCTAAATCTGCATTGCTCTGCATAACAATTCCTGACTCTCAGGCCTTGCCTGCGTGCTTTCGCACACCAGACTTGAAACAGGCCAGAAATCCACACTTTCGACAAGGCAGACATCACCATTTATTGCCAAGGCAGAGTAGTGCAGGCTCCCCCACAACCATCCTCCTTAAAATAGGCTATCAGCCTGATGTTGCTGGGAACTGAAACTCAGCAGAATGGCCTCTGCAATGTCGCACTAGAAAGTGTGTTGAGATGATTCTACAATCATCTTATCTGAATCATGGTTTCGATCTCACAGCTGGAAATCGAGATGACCCCTGAAGAGGGCCAAACAAGATGAGGCTGAACTTCCCCAGGCATCTCCATTGCAGTGCAGGTGCCAGCAGTGATGACCCTGACAACAAGCCCCACCTACTGATGCTGATAGGACAGCCATATAAAAGTCAGTGCAGGAGAACGGCCCCAAAGATGGAAATGCAGATAGTCTGGTTCATGGCCATCTGTCTCTTTGGAGCAAGTAAGTTTTTGGCTAAGTCATGAAATCCTTTTCCTGCAGTTTGCAGTGTACAACTCGGGAGGTTTCCCCATGAGCCATTGCTTTCACTTTACTTTGTCTCCTTCCCACAGGAAGCACAGATGTCCGCCTCAATCAGACACTGAGTGTGGTAGAGGAGAGAGAAAAAACAGTACAACTACAATGTGAACAAAATGCTGATCATGATTATATGTATTGGTACCAACGGCATCAGGGCAAAGGATTGCATCTGATCTATTACTCCTATGATACATCTGAAGTAAAGCAAGGAAATATTTCTGAGCGATTCAAAGCCACCCGACTGCAAACTCAGCGCTTTCACTTAAACATCTCATCCTTGAAGCCTGAGGACTCAGCTGTGTACTTTTGTGCCAGCAGCTTAGGCACAGTGCTTTACAGTTACCTCCCACCTCTACAAAAACCACATCCCCGTCCTGAATGCCACTGAAAGGGTATGTCTACATTTGCCCCCTAGTTACTCCTCATTGCAGTAATCCTGCAATAAGGAGTAACAATTAATTTGAGGGAAGGGGTTTGGATTGGACTACCGCATCTACACACAGAAAGTTAAATCGGGCGGCCAGCATTTTGAAATGGCGACTGACCACGAATATGCTAATCAAGCACAAGATATTTAAATCCCGCACTTCATTAGCAACTTCGGTATGCTTCATTTGTCTCCCTAGTCCGGACTAGGGGGCAAGTGTAGACATACCCAGGAAGGCCACCCCTCCACACTTTCCACAGAGGAGGGAGGTGTGCTGCCATGCAAAGGCACATGGTTCATATTTAGAACTCCAGTGATGAGTAAACTTCTGAGTATTACATAAAATGACACATTCCCGAGAGATTTCCAGCTCCCACTCTGACAGCCCTTCACTTCCTCAAGCACTACAAACCCCTCTGCAATCTGCCAAACCTAATATTAAGTCCACCCTCGCCCCATTGACCCACCCTCACCTGATCCTCTCTGCTCATTCTCAGTAGCCAAAACCTCTCACCATCTCCCTCAACTTCTGAATAGCCACTCAGGGCCTGTCTTGACTGAAATTACAGGGTGTAATAGCAGCTCAAACTGACATACTAAAGTGAGCTTTAAGTTAGGCCACATCTCCTAACTGCACTGGAAATCGATCTTCTAGCATTCAATTTAGCAGGTCTAGCAAGGACCCACTAAAATGAAGGCTGAGAGTGCCCTGGTTGGCACTGGTACACCTCAATTCATGAGGTGTAAGGGAAGCCGACAGGAGCAATTGCTTGAGTTGCTTACCTTAAGCCGACTTTCTGTATCTAATATAGACCTGCCCTTAGCTAGTTTAGGGTCTGGGATAGTGAAACTGCAGCAGTGCAAGCTTCAGTGGAGGCTAGCCCTACCAGTAGTTACCTGGGGTTCTGGGTGGGTTTGTACTACAACTCATGTTGCTGAAGCTTAATTACCCAAGTTAGTGAAATTAAGTCATGGCCATTTGGGAACCAATATGTCATCAGCTGAGATATCAACTTCATAAATAAAACTCTTGCCATGAGTCATTTGCTTGATTGGGTCCATCTTTTGTATTGAGTCTTTTCCCCCCAGAGAATCTGGCAACAGAGAGAGAACAGTAAGACCCCTGCTAGCTGTTTGCTTCTCCTGTGCAGTTATCTCAAAGCCAAGCACCCAAATCCGTACTCCAACATTCTGATGCTGCTTACAGTGTCTTCCTTATTCCTGGTCCTGGGATTTCATTTCTTTTAGCCACTCAATCCCCACTTAATTACTCAGCAACAATCTGGCTCCCCATTGCCTCTGCGGGCCAGATCTGGTGGCTTGGCAGGCTGGATTTGGCCCACGGGCCGTATATCGCTCAGGCCTGACTTAAAACCTACTTTTATAATAAATAAAAACACTTTTCTTTAATATCAAACCCAGTGTAAATAATGGTTTCCTGGAGGAGGGGGAAACAACCACTGTGCATATACCTCTTTCACTGATAAAGGGGGAAGGCATCTTTTGGGGGGTTGGGTTCCTGGGTGTTTTCAAGGCCTGCAGATGAGCCCTCCCAGAGCTGAGTTGGTTCAGAGTGTCTGTGTTGCTCTGCTGTGGGCTGTAACCCCAATTTAGTGCCTTTGCAGGGGGAGACCAGAGCTTCTGGCCCAGAAGACAGGGTTGTGGGGTGCCCCAGAGGGAAGATAGGTGTGCTCAGTGGCATGATCAGCATGCTGGGTAACAGTCCCAAGGGGATCTCTGTGATCCAACCCATCACAGAGGCATCATAAGACATTTTGATGGACAACTATGTCTCACACTCAATCAGTCTTATTCTGTTGGTGGAACTGGAGGGCAAATGGAAGGAGGACAGAAGTAAAACAGACTACATTCTGAGACTGAGAGAAGAAGTGGAAGCTCCCTGGATCCAGCCTGAGAAAGGAAAAGCCTATGACAGGAGCATTCTGACTGGAAGAAAGAAAATACCATGTAAGAAAGGGCCTGATGATAGAGACCTAAACCCAGGGATGACAGCTGGTGCTGGTTTGGCAATAGACTTGGGTCAATTAGGACCACTAAGCCAAGTGTCTGACTAGACAAACTCTAGAGATTTTAGGATTCGAAGTTGGAGAAAGGCTGCTGAGTATGGGTATATCTACACTGCAACGCTATTTCAAGATACAAGAGTATCCCGAAATAGCTATCCCGCGTCTTCACAGCAAGCCTGTTATTTCAGACTCTCTATTCCAATCTCCCTGTAAACCTCACTACACGAGGGCTGCGTCTAGACTGGCCTGATTTTGCACAAATACTTTTAACGGAAAAGTTTTTCCATTAAAAGTATTTGAGCATGAGTGCGTCTATACTGGTATGTGTCTTTGCACAAAAGATTTGCTTTTACGCAAAAGCATCCATGCCAGTGTAGCCGCTCTCTTGCGCAAGAAAGCTCTGATGGCCATTTTAGCCATTGGGCTTTCTTGTGCAAGAAATTAATGTGGCTGTCTACACTGGTCCTCTTGCGCAAGTATTCTTATCCCTGAGCGGGAGGCTTATCCCTGAGTGGGAGAGTTGAAATATTTGCAGAAGAACCACGGATTTTGTACATTACAAGGTCAGTGCTCTTGCGCAAATACTCGCGGCCAGTGTAGACAGGCGGCAAGATTTTGCACAAAAGCAGCCACTTTCTAGATGCACCCGAGGATTAAGGGACATTTTAGAATAGTACTTTATTTCAAAATTTGGTGCTGTGTAGGCAGTGCCAAATAATGAAATGAGCTATTTCGAAATAGCATCAAAATAAGATACGCAATTTGCGTAGCTCAAATTGTGTATCTTATTTTGAGTTACAGTGCTGTGTAGAAGCACCCTAAGTGTATTTATTGGGGCTTAGCCTTAATATGGAACAAAAGATTAGTTGACAGCAGCTATTTCTATTAGCGGGTGGTTCCCTTAAACCAGGAGTGAGCAATATTTTTTTGCCGGAAGGGGTGGGGCCTCAAATGGAAGGGGTGGACCAGGATGCTTCGGGCTTTCCCACCCACAGACCAGGATTGGTCTGGGGGTGGGGAGACCCTCTGCCTCCCCTTCCCACTAAGCACCCGTGCCCCTGGCAGTGGGAAGAGACTTCCCATGTTCCCCCACCCCCAGGTCAATTAGGGTCTGGGGGTGGAGGAACATACGAAGCCTACTCCCACCCTACCAGGAGCGCCACACACTCCGTGCAGGGTGGGAGTAGGGTGGCGGAAACTGCGTGCTCCTCCTGCTCCCAGGCCAATAAGGGCATGGGGGCAGGGGAGCAGCAGGGTCTCTGCGGGCCGGATCTGACCCGTGGAGGCCCTTTTGCCTAACGCTGCCTTAGACTATTCACAGTTTCAGGTGTAACCCCAGTAGCTGAATTTCCCGTAACACCCACATCTATTACTAGCTCTCTGCCAAACTGCCAGACCTCTGAGTATACGCAACATCCCTGGGTGATCCCTCACTATAAAAAGTCTTAATGTGGTTCTAACAGGAACACTTATAACACTTGCATTCAGGATTTGTGATGTTGTCCTGGTTGCCAACATGAATTCTGTGCACCTCTGCTCACTTCAGACATTTCTGGGGCAAAAGTTATTATAGGATTATCATCATCACATATTGGCAGAGAAATTGAGGCAAGGAACAGTAAAGCAACTTGAACAAGGTAACAATGAGTAAGTTTCTGAGCTGGCAGCAGGACCTGATAGTCTTGGCAGGCTCCCTGTTTTACCTTTTGAACTACACTCCCTGTACTAGTGCAATCATGTAAGGTCCAGCGCCTCTCCCAAAATCATCATGGAAACTTTCCAGAGAGTGTCTTTCTGTCTGAGAACTGGGGCTGACAGTAACACAAGAACTGGTCTATCAGCATATCTGGCATGACTGCAGCTACAGAGCAGAGTGCTGAGGAAACACCTCCTGTTCAGTGGGACAGACATGGGGATGCAAATCATTTGGTATGTGGCTGTTGGTCTCATGGCAGCAAGTAAGTCAGTAACTCAAATATGAATCTCTCTGGTGGAATTTGCAGGACAGGGCTCTAAATGTTTCCACTGGAGCCATTTGCTTTATTTCACATGTTTTTTCTTTTTCCCCTGCAGGAGGCACGGATGCTGGATTAACGCAAACGCCAAATCTGATACTGATGACAGGACAGACCGCTCACTTGAGATGTGAGCAAACTGACGAGCATTACATTATGTATTGGTATTGGTTGCAACAGGGGAAGGGTCTGCAGTTGATCTATTCCTCAGTAATAAACTCTGTGCAGTCCGAGGGCGATGACAGTATACAAGGGTTCACAGCCTCCCGCCCTGAGATTTCACTCTTTCATTTGACTATCTCCTCCGTGACAGTGAATCACTCTGCTGTGTATTTCTGCACCAACAGCAGACCTGCAGAAGAGCTACACAGTGCTCCAGAATTTCCTCCTCTCTGTACAAATTCCTCCCTTGTCCAGGAGAGAGGGCAGAGCCCCCAGCACAGGAAGCAGGTGTCCCTCAGCATAAATAAAGGTCACCTCAGTATTAACAATGGAGCAGTGATTAAGGGGATGAGGAGAATGTTTAAGATATGTCAGAATTTTCCAAAGTGGCTACAGATGCTGGGGAGCCTCCATTTTTGCACACAAATGCTGTGGCCACTTTGGGCTATGTACATTTAAAATGCTATAATGGCACAGCTGCATTTGTAGCACTTCAGTGTACACACTACCGTGCCAGGAGTGGTTTTCCTGTTATAATGAATGCACTTCCCCAAGAAGAAAGGCAGCTTGGTCAACAGAAGAAAGTCTTCTGTCAACCTAGCACTGGGAGTTAGGTAGGGGTGGATTTTTCAGAGGTGTGGATTTTTCACGCCCCTGAGAGATGTAGCTATATAGTTTTCAGTATATAACAGTCCTTGGAAAACACTGACCTTAGCTCCATAGGAACATAAGAACTGTCAGACTGGATCAGACATAAGGTCTATGTTGTTGTGTATTGTGTCTGTGCTGAGGTAATCGTTTTATTAATAGAAAATGATATGCACAAATACTGTTATACTAAATAGAGTTTTCCAAACATTTAAAACAAAGTGGTCTAGGTAAAATAATGAAACAAGTTCATTAACTACAGAAACATAGATTTTAAGTGGTTATAAGTGGCCAATACCAGATGCTTCAGAGAAAATTTTAGGAAGCCTCCAGAAGGCAGATGGGAGATTGGCCTCTTACACTACATATCATTCTTATTGCTAATATTAGAGATCAGCTTAAGCCTAGAGCACTAGGTACAATCAATATTCCTTCCAAATGTTAACAAGAACTATGATGATTCTAGAAAACCTTTTACCCACAGTTCCAAAAACCCTTTCCACACTGCACAGAACCGGAAGGGACCTTGAGAGGTCGTTGAGTCCAGTCCCCTGTCCTCACTGCAGGACCAAGCACCATCCAGGTGTCTATCATCCCAGACAGGTCTAACCTGCTCCTAAATATCTCCAGTGATGAGGATTCCACAACCTCCCTAGGCCATTTATCCCAGCATTTAACCACCCTGCCAGGTATGTGGTTACATACATATCACCAGAGCTTTTTTGCAACAGGACGACCCGGTACAGAGTACCAGCACCTATTTTCCCAGCATACTGGAAATGAATGGCACTGTCCTTGGGTGCACCAGCACCTATTGTCAGAGGAGATTTAACTGGCATTTTCCTGGGGTAGCTTGGCTCCTGCTTGGAACTCGTGGTTCTTAAAGGGGTATAAAAGCAGGGTGGGGGGCTTCAGCAATCATGCCCTGTCTAGCTCGTGCTGCGATCAAGCCACCCCTGCTCAAAGGAGACAATCCTGGGAGCTGCCCGCCGGCCCACGGTGCGGCCCAGCTAACAGCAACGAAGGGCAGAGATGGATACCCGGCAGCCACCCTCTGCCCCCGCTTCTCTCATCCACTCAGCCCCACCCCCAGGCTTGCTGAGGCCTGTGGGGGGAATGCTTTGGACCTAGCCAATTCACTCCCCTTGCACCGCACACTGGCCTAGAGGCACTACAGGGCCTGACACCTGGGATCCCACAGTGCAGGAGAAAACAGGGCCTAACCTGACCCCCAGTTCAAAGGATCCACTTGAGGGAGGGCCCTAGCACCAAAATCTCACTGGTGCTCAGGAGGCTACAGGGCCTCTCTAGGGGGCACTGGCTCCGGTTCAGTCCCAGGGCAGGGGGCAGAGGCTGGCTCATGGAGGTATGGATGGGCTCTGGGGATCCTTCCCTTCTAGGGGGCACCAGTCCCCATCTAACCCCATGCAGGCAGTATAGAATCACAGAACACTAGAGCTGGAAGGGACCTCACGAGGTCAACCAGTCCAATCCTCTGCCCTTACAGCAGGACCAAGCACCCCGGGCTACTCAACACTTGGCCCGTGGGCCGCATGCTGCCCACGGCCAGTTTGTTTGCGCCCTGCGGTGCAGTTTGGGTTTATGTGGAGATCAACACATGGCCAGCGAGTGGGAGCCAAAACAAAAAAGTAGTCAGTGTAATGATCTTCTGTTGATGCGTTTTAGTAGTTAAATACTTGGACTGTCATTGCTCATGAAAAGTGCTATCACATGGGTAGAAATCATGGGTAAATGTTGCATTTTATTAATATCAGCAGAACTTACTTAAATGGGGCCGGTGTGTTGTATAGTCTTTCCTTAATCTTTGTATTCATGCCTGTCAGTGTAGGAGAAGCTATTTGTATATATTTGCTTGCATACAGGGCTGGCCCAAGCCATTTTGGCTCCCTGGGTCCGGGTGCACAGCACATGTGTGGCCTGGCCACAGCCACTGGCATGCAGCCCGGGCCTGCCCCCGGGGGCGCACGCGCTGCCCAGCCACCGCTGCTGGTGTGCTCGCGCTGGGCCATGCAGGGCCCCACAGCCATGGGGGAACGGGCATTGCTGGCTGGTGTCGTGGAGATGGGGGGGGACAGCGCTGCAGCAGCTGGGCACA